TTAAAGCTTGTGAATACAGCCATTTTGATTGTTTAATATCGGATGCACCAAGTGTACGTGGAATCCCAACAACTTCATCTTTTCTGAAGGACTGTTCAAAATCAAAAAAATCTATAGCATATTTTGCTAACGTATTAGCAAATTGTATTTGATTTTGTGCATCGTTTTCTGGGTAACCTTTGAGATAACCGGTTGAATATATAATACCTTTCGTATTCTTTGAACTAAACCAATCACCTACAACAAGTAATTTATCCTTCACTAAGTTATTAATCGCTTGTTCTCGAATTCTTGGCGATGTGGGGACATGTTTCAATTTTGCATATACGTCGCTCTTCGACATAACTATTGCATCAGATAAGATCAATTTTTTGTAAATTTGAGACAAAATTTTATCATTGTCTTTTTCGGTTGATGCTGTTTAGAAAAATAATAACGAGTTTTATTAATATCAAAAATAGAGCAATAGAATAACTTACGATAATAATTATTTTGATCACTATTAATTAATGATTTATCAACATTAAGATTAAGGTTGTGTTGATCACCTTCTGAATCAATGTTTACAAAATTATTTGAAGATGATGATGTTGTATCAAAAGAGGATGACTCCGTGTCTCCTTGACGATTTATATCTATCATAAAAAATAAAATATTTAGAATGCATGAATTATCATTATATCTTTCTTTTTGCTATTAACTGTCATAAAATAAAAAGTAGAAATCTATCAAGTATATACGAATAATTATAGCTTAACAAACAACGTACTTTTATAGACCAAAAAGGATTTATTTACGTCATGATGTTGATAATCAGTTATCGACATAGAGTTTGACATATTAACATCGCTTCTAATAATATTTGAAGTAGTTGGATCAAGCATATTCAATTGAATATTATCTAAATTATTTTAAAATATTTTTAGTTTTTATTCTATTTTATTTTATTTTAAGGAATTATTAATAAAGCATTCAATGAAAGGTTAACTCTGATACTCCTGCTTCCATCATAACTAGCTGCTTTGACCCTCACAATAGCAGATACCACTTAACATAAGCATTTCACTTTGACATATACTTGAATTAATCATACTATGCGCATTGTCTATCAACATATTATCAATAAATGGTGCAGCAACATCATTATAATCTTTATTAATGTCCATACCTGTGGATGATTGTGTCGAAGTAGTGCTATTATTTTGCTCCAAATTTGTATCAATATCAATAGAACTAAATTGATTGACACGATATTCATTAGTATGAGTAAAACCTACAAAGAGAAAATTTTCTTTAGAAAATTTGACCTTATCTTAATCTTAAACTTTAATAATTCGGGAGACAATTAGGAAATTCATTATAAATATTATGTAAAAAACTGATTATAGTAACACTAATAAAAGATCTTGTAAGAAGATGAAGAATTTCTAGCACTATAAATTTTAAATTCCTTTCGTTGTCTTAAAGAACGTTCATCCCTATTCAAATCAATTAGTGAATATTTTACTGCCTCTAGGGAAACAAGTGCTGTCCTTTTATCATATTTTGATTATGCATCCTAAATAAACTTTTGATTGTGAGCAAAAACAATAATGATTTTATGTTTTATAGTTTATTTTTTATCTAATTATTAAGCAAAAATATAACACAATGATAATTAATAATGTTCTGATTGCCAATACTCTTTGACTATACGGAAAACTTTTTAAGAAAATTTATATTAAAAGAATTACTTAAAAACATACCGATAGTAATTGTTGAGTTTGTATTTATTGGAGAAGATGAAAATGGTTGTATTGTATTAAATGTATGTTCGATAGGTGAAGTTGTTCGTTTACCATCTTCATTCTTATTGATGTTATTTTTTTGTAGTTTTTTTCGGGGACTTTCACTTTCTTCATACAATAAACGTTTAAATGAATAGTTATTATTTTGCACCACATCAGGTATCGGTTCAAATGATTGTGTCGAATTAGTATTTATTACTTCCATCAGATCATTGCCTGAGTTTAATTCAGATTGATCTGTACATATATATAAATTTCTTGTTCACCTACGATGGAATATATATTTCTTACTTTTATCTTGAATTTTTGTTTGTTTTTCTACATGAACTGTATTAGATGTTGGCACACGTAATTCATTATTTTTAATAACAGATGTATTAACTAAATATTACAAATACATATTCGAAAACTGCAACCAATAATAGTTTTTAAATGAACATACCAGGATCAAGTACTTGTGTACCTAATATATTTTCATTGCACATATTACTAACGACATTCTTTTCATTAAGAGTTCGTGAATAAAAATAATCTTGTAAAATATTTGCTTGAATTTGATGCAGTTCTTGTTCAAGAGACATATTATCTTGATTATTTTGATTTGGTAAAATACTGTTAGATAAACTTGTTGTCGAATTTGATGTACATAATGAAGAAAATAAAGAAGAGTTTCCAATATGAGATGGTGATGATGATGTTGATGACGCTAAGTTATTAATTGGAAGAATTGATACATCAGATGTTGATAAGTTGTTATTATTGATGGATAATAAATCAAGATCAAATTCGAAATTGTTTTGAATATCGGTGCCATCTATATAATTACACAAAAATTTTAATAAAAGAAATCGTTTAATGTTCTATGAACAAGCAATATACCATTATTAACACGTTGAGACGATGAAATGATACAGTATTGTTTTTTTCCTTTAAAAAATTCATGTTGAACCACATGAGCTGCTATTCGACGTTCCATTTCTTGTTCGATACGAATATCGTTAAATAAATGAAGAACTGGAATATATGCATTATCAGAAAGAATCAATTTGATTGTTTCATCAGTTAATAGCATATTTGTTGGTAATGGAGAATTCATATAAATATGTTCATATTCATCAATATTTATATTTATTGATTCAAGTGCTGCTAATTTATCTTTATCAGTTCGAATAATACATGGTGGTGTTTTCATGAGTGTTTCTTTTCGTGCACCAACAAGATGTCTTTTATCCCCAATACCATTTTGAACTAAGCCAGTATTTATCAAATAATTAATTGCATCAGTTTAACGAATTATTTTAGTTTTAGATTTCAGATAATTTTTAAAAATACCAGTATATGGTAAACCAGTTAAAACATTGCTAAACCATGCTTTTGACAAAATAGGCGATGCCATGATTAATAAAATTGATTCTTCTTCAAAAAACGACCTGAAAGAAAAAAAATTGTAGAATTAAAATTAAACCACCAGAACTTTCAAATACTACTTAAACTTGCAATAAACTATAATACTAATTGCAAAAAAATTAACAAAGAATATCTTTCACAACTAACTTTTTTGTTGATAAATTATTGGAAATGTTTGTTGAATCGTTCTCAATTTTGATGGCTTCTATATCATCAAATAATAAAGCAGTAGTTCTAGATGAATATTCATATAGTACTTCAGCTGCTTTAACGGCAGCTTTGTTTACTACAATAAGAGGACGATTGTTGGCACCGTAAGAAGGTGCTTGATCCATTTTTTGTTTAATAATGTTTTTAGCATGATCATAAAATAAAAATAATCGATTGTATTGTTCATTAACAATAGCATCTTTCATAAATAATCCATCACCAAACCGAATGAAATTGATTGATTCATAGCAAATTTTTATTGCAAAAGAAATAATATAACATAACGCACTTATCTTTGCTTATTTTGCACCACTTTTGCGATAAAATGCTCGTTGAAGTGGTGTGTAGGATGATTTTCCTTTTTGATCAGTTTTCAATGATTTACTATAGTAATAATCCATGATTCGTTTTAATGCTGTCTGTGGTGATAAAAGATTACCATCAATTTCACGATCACCATCTTTATGTGGAATAAGAATAGTTGGTTTCAATTCAGCTAAAATTTCAACTGGTAATATTGAGCCACCATTATCTTGTATTAATTCTTGTATATCATCTCGTATAGAAACTAAAGAAAAACAATATAAATATAAATCATAAAAAAATTTGTGATAAAAACCTGTAGTTGGTACTTCAGATTCATTCTTATATTGTCCAAATACAAGTATTGGTTTATATTCACTTATAAGACGCATAATTATCAAGATATGAACCATATTTGGTTGAATCGATAGAATATTACTAGGAGGACCAGATACAGGTTTATGTGCTGATGAAGTAATATACAAAAACCTACTGACAGCACCATCGGACATAGAAGGATTTTGATATTGACGATGAACAGTAGATAACATATTGCCTGTACTAGCTCCAAAAATATTGATCGATCCTCTCTTAATCAAAAAGGATGTTGAACCGGTTGTTCTTAAAAGATTTCTAATAGTATCATATCCTTGACATAATAACTTAGCACCAATCGTTTTGATATCATTATCCATAGAACCTCCTAAGTAAACACCAAACCTAATGTTCATGACATCAAGTTCATCAGAAAAAATGAAGACGTTTTCTTAAAAATAAAAAAAATGAATACGAGTTCATATATCTTTAAAAGAATTATATCTAATGTAAGCCTTACACGTTTAGATATTCTTTGAAACAACGACAATTCAGTATCATTATTTACAATTAACCCAACATCATTTGTTGTTTCTTTACCATTAATAGTTTCAGTTACTGTTTTACTGAAAAATTCTGGAAATAAATGTGATAGTACAGACATAGTAGAACTAAATGCTCTTAATAAACCAGATTTATTTGTACCTAGAAATAATAAATTAAAGATAAAAAAAATCATTAGGAATAATAACTCACCAGGTTCACCAATAAGCTGTGCAAATAAATTCATAGATGTTAAAGAACCACTTCCATCTGAATTATATAATTCTGCACCATCAAGCATAACCGCAGTATGTACAAGAGAACCAAACAGGAATGGTGCAATATCTAAATCCAATGCTTTATGTTCATCAAAAAATCGTATTAAAGCTGGTTGATGAAAATCGGCAAAAACTTCAAGTAAATTAATGGAATAGGAGATACATTGGTCAGCCGAAAAATATTTTCACTGATTTGTGTGGAATATGAGTCGTTTTTTTGCATTGGCATATCTAACAAATAAAAAGTAAATTTAATATACAACACAAAGGTTTTATAATAAATATTCATAGTATTTCTTCTCGTTTATGTAAATCAGTCTGCTTATAACTGCTATTCAGAAACAGATGAGGGCAAACGATAAAGTGACGAAAATAATTTTACACTAATCGTTCTAAAATAGAACGTATTTATATAGGAGAAGAAATACAAAGAGAAAGTACAAAGAATAGCAGATAGCCTATGAAGAAAAGATTTTTGGACTAGACGAATCACAACAATAAGAGATAAATAGTCCGAAGTATTTAATTTAAGATACATATTGCATCAATATGGACGATATATATGCCTGTTATTTGTCTACTAAGAGATATATGATATACTTGATAATACGATACACAACTTATACGTCTTGCCTAGTCAAAAAATTAGAAGCAAAGGAGAATGATATAATGCAAACAAAGTAGACAGTAGAATAGAATATAATAGAATAATGTATAGATTGTCATATCATTGTTTTCATTGGCTTTGTTTTTCTATTAACTGAAGCGATCACTAAGGCAGTAGAATTAAGATTTAATTAGTTTAAAATCTGCATGCTTAAACGAAACTATTTTAATTTATCTTGGAAAAAGTCATTGATATCAAGAATATTTCAACATGATAGAACGCTAATTCTTTTTTAAAATTTAGCTTCATATATTGGTAATCGTCCCAACCAATACAAGAGAAGAAGGAAAGCATCAGTTAATGAATGCGATCTATTGTTCATTTTCATATATTTAGCGCACAAAAAAAATGATCGAATTAAATAATCAATTTGGATCTCATAATTATTTGCTGTTCTAATTTTGATGCTGAACTACTTTCAAATTATTCAATGGTCAAGCATTCTACGGATTTAAATATCGTATTGTTTATCTACTAATAAACAACTAATCAAAAGTCTTTTTAAGATATTGTTCGATTGTATATTTATTTTTGTTGTACAGTTGAATAATCAGGAAATAATATTTCAAATTAGTACCTCGTATAAGATAATGACAGTAAAGAAAAAGTTTATTATATAACAGAAATAAGAAAATGAAGAGATAGCTAAATATACATAAAGTTAACTTTTATACAAAAAAATAAACGTTGAAATTGTGTTTTTATAACATGAGAAATAAAAATTGATGAAAGTATTCATGATTGAAAATATTGTCTATAATGTTCAGAGCATAATATATACGAACAGAAAACATAATAAGCTTATTTACAATTCTTCTTCTGTAGTTAACTCATTAAAATCTTCTATTACATCAGATTCTTCTTCAGCATTTTCATCATCTTTATCAAATGCTCCAAATGTTTCACATACTTTTGGTGTTGAAAAATACTCTTTAATTTCGTTTGAAAAGTACAATGATGATAAACCAATTTGATATTCATTAACTCCAACGATTCTACAATTTTTCAAATGGAGCATTAGCATTAACATTACAGTCGAAAATGGAAATGAAAAATTTCGTAAGGAATATTTTGCTTTCGCAATAAATTGAAAACCAATTTCAGCTGCTTGAGTATTCACACCCAAAAAACGTTCACCATGAGACGGATGATCCGATCTCATGATAGTTTGACATATTGATCTTGTATGTGTACGTTGATGAAAATTATCAAGTGCAATATACGTTGGCAATTGTTTAGTTATGTCGGTTAATTTTAACATATCAGTACCGAGCCACTTTTGCCAATGTAGCTTAAGCGCACAGGCACAATCATATAAAAGTGCATCTGGCATTTGACAGCCATGTATGATTGAACGTAATAAGTGTCTAGTAATAGATCTCATACCTTCAGCTTTAATGGCTTCCGTGAAGCCAATTAACACACCACATGGATGGTAAGAAGCTAAAAAACCAAATGTTCTGGACTTTCGAATTTGTTCACTATCATCACGATAATTTGAACATTCTTCTTTATGATTTGCCAAGGCCTGTTGATCAAGTTGCTAAAATAGAGCATTATGAAAAAATCATTTATATTATTTGCTGCATTAAATAAATTAGTATATAATTCGATTCAAAATCAAGTTATAAAAAAGTATCTATGTTATTTTGTGCATTAAATAAAATAATGATATATAATGTTATTTAAATTAAAATAGAATAATATATCTGTATTATCTGTTGCATTTATATTAACTAAATATTTATGATATTATTTGAGTTTAAACGCAAATTATTTATTTATGCCGCGATTGGATATTAAATTGAATATTGTAGCTACTGCTGTTTTAATGTCAACTTTTTCAAGAAAAAAAATAAGTTAATAATTTATAAGAATTAAGAGACAACTTGAAATCTCACTTAAATAAGCTGATAAATCTTTAAAATTATGTGAATCTTGAAAGATATCTTCAAATTCTTTTTATAATTTATCAACCATTGTCATTTATCTACTTCACATAGTAATGTATTCATTTCTACCTAATTTTTGAGAGCAACTAGTTCGTAATATTACTTACTGCAAACTCAACAGCTATTTGGCATGCTTTTTGCATATCAGAAGAATGAAATAAATTTTTAGACGGCTGGTGGTAACGGCAAAAATTTGTCAAAACTAAAAATATAATAAATCAAAACACGCTAATGACAATTATTAATATTATTAGAACTCTCACTGGAATTATTAGTTTTTGTTTTTCTGCATGGTGTATAAGGACATCCTATTTCAATTGATGTCATCTCATTAATTGTTGTATCCACAACGTTTTTATATTCACAAACTATTCGTTTTGACTTTTGGTGGCCGTCGACAATAACACATCTACTACAATTGACAGTATCACATTTCATGTTTGGAAGTAATTTGTGTCGAGACCAAAAGATGGAAAAAAGATGATACCACCATCCAGATGAATTTTCAAAATGCTGTTCAAGTTCTGAACGATTTAATGAATCAGGCATAATAACCATTTCACCTTTACCAAGCATAAACTCAAACCAAATAATATTATATAGAAACCAGTATGACTGGAAAACTTTTGTCAAATGAATAGGTTCTAAATCTTGAATAACAACATGAATCATTTTAGTATCATGAATTGTTAATGTTTGTTGGCAATAGATACACGTATTGGTGAATGGCAAAAGTAATAGGTCATGTGCAATATCAATAGTAATACGATTTATATTTACTGTAAAATTATTATGAGCTGAGCCATCCATTAAAAAGGTATTACGAATAAAAGAAATATTCATACCAATTAGATTTATTAATGTACGAATTTGCTCAATGGTACATTGACTTTTAAAACGTTCATTTATAGCTGTTTGAATAATTTGTGTACGTAAATTAGATGATAAAATCGACGATGGAATGATTGAAAGATCCATATATATCTTACATGCATAGGGCAACGGTGTGGGCCCAATACATGAAGCAAGAATTTCGAATAACTTGTTAGAATCAGACATCTACAAATAAAGAGAACTACTTTTAGAATTAATTAATATTATTTACTATTCCGGATAGTCGAAAAATAATAAATATGTTTCAACTAAGATATATCAGTAATGAAGTATTAAAAGATTGAAATACATATATCGACGCATCACTATATCCTCTTCCTCTTCCTATACCTCCTATATCTCCTATACCTCCTATATCTCCTATACCTC